CCGTCGGCAAAGAGCAGATGCAGGCGGTCGTGGGCGTGGTCGGGGACGGCGGTGTGATCCAGTGGGACGACGCGAACTGCCAGTGCCACTTGGGGGCTCCAGCCACCCAGATCCAGCAGGCCATGGCGTCGTTTAAAGATTGAGGTGGCAGGGTAGCCCACTTCGAATTCAATGACGTGCAATTAATTAGCTGGAACACCTGCAAGAAAGGTCGATCTTCCATTCCCAACGTCGCCAAGCAGGTTCGGGCGCTGTTCGGGGACACGGCGATCTTGCTGCAGGAGGTACCTGCTTGGGGTGCTAGTGCAGGTTATGTGTACCACAACCACGTCGTCATGTGTAGGGAGGGCTCGGACTGTGGCTTTTTGATTCCTAGACGTTGGACTCCGGCCATTCGTTCTGAGAGGTACCGTGACTACTGGGCAGCGTGTGTGGTGGGCAATGTAATTTTGATTTCAGCGCACATTTTAGACCATCTTTCGCCAGATGGGAGGGGACAACAAGTAATTCAAGAGACCATGGAGTATGTGCAGCATGTGCGGCTCACTTTTCCTGGTTGCATGTTCGAGATTGTGATGGGTGTCGATGCGAATGTGACTCTGCCCGCGGATTATGAAGCTATCACTGGGCACCATGTTCTTCCTGCCGCCCCGTCCCACACCCCGTCCATGACTCGTGTGATTTTGGAGTGGTTTACGGCGCTGGGGGGCCGGGCTTTGAACACATTTGAATGTCCAGGGGAAGCTGATCTGCGCGGGGAGCCGACATGCCTATGGACGTGTGGGCGGCGGAGAGTATTGTCCAGACGCACCCAGATTGATTTCATCGTTGTCTCAGAGGGCGTTGACGGCTACGCCTCGCCGCAGACCTTCGATGGGAAGCTGTTTGGCCGGTCCGACCACCGGCCGTTGGTTAGCTACCTTCGTCAAGCCGCCGTTTCACAATGTTACAGTGTACATGGTCCAATGGCGCCAAAATGTATGACAGGATGGTCACCTATCAACTCCGACGCGTTGGATGCGTTTCGTAAGAACTGTTGTCATTTTCGTGGTGATTGTCTCGGAGCTCTTCAGAAGCACATCCTCAATGAGGCGCGGAACACTCCGCACACCACCGCGTCGCAACGCAAACATTCCAGGGCCATGTCCATCAACAGTCCAGTGCGGGAGGCATGCGCACTCGTTGCCTCGTCGACGGGATCCGCTCGCCAGGCCGCGGTAGTCCAGCTTCGGGCTGCCAAGAAGCGTGCAAAGAAGCTCAGAAACGAGAAGCAGTTGCAGGCGGTCGAGCCGAAACGAGGATCCCCTCGTCTCCCCGTTGCCCTGAAGGTGGACGGCGTGTTATCTCATGACCGCCAAGCTTGGATCGATGAGGCACTCAAGTTCGGCAAGCAACGCTTTGGCGATGATTCCAACACCTTTGACGTGCAGTTTGCTCGATTGGGCAGCCTACAAACTTTGATTGATTCTGCCGCCGCTGACGGCTGGGACACACCGACCCTTTCCTTGTTCGACGTGTTGCAAGGGCGTTCGAAAATCAAGAGTGGATCAGCTGCCGGTGCCGACGGCTGCCCACCAGAGGTATACCGAGATTTGCCATTCACAGTCGCAGTCCATATCTGGGAATTATTTTCTTGCAGGCTGTCCAGCAAGACCCCCGAGGAGGTGCAGGAGTGGAAGCTTATCGAGTTCGTGGGCCTGCCGAAGACAAGGATTTCTGATAGCTTCGATCTTTTCCGATGGGTTTCTAAGCTTGACTGCATGCAGAAGTGGTTTGCACGGAGTCTATTGCGTCTGGTTCGATCTCAGCTTTCCCGTAGTCTGGTGCACACACTGGGTTTCAAGGCGGGTTTTTGCAGTGACGACCTCGTTTCCACTATGCGGCAGTGCTTGTATCTATCGAACAGGTGGGGTATACCATTGATCGTCGCAGCTCTCGACGTGGCGACGGCGTTCGATGCCATTGACCATGAGCTCCTAGGCGGTGCCCTGCTTACTCGCGGTGTCCATCCAGGATTGGTCCGATGTCTTCTCCGGGAGCTGTCTGGATTCTCGGCGCGACTGAGCGTGCCTGGAGCTGGTACTACCTCGTATTTTGACTTTGAACGCGGTGGGAAACAAGGAGGAGCTGAAACCCCAGATGAATTCAACATGTTCCTCGAAGTGATTTTGAGTCCATTGGCGGCTGATTGGTCCGATAGGGGCCTCGGGTTCTCACCGGGCGAAGGAATCCCGCTCCTGACACATCTTGTTTGGGCCGATAACATATTCATATTTGCCTCTAGCCGAAGCCAATTTCAGACAATGGCTGCTGAGTTGACGTCCAGGGTCACCACCTTCAAGCTCAGTTGGAAACGTTCGTCTCTGCAGTTCATGTGCTCGGGAGGAGCGCACAGCGATGATACTCTCGACGTTGGTTGCGTGGGATTCGATTGCGAGCCCGTCATCCTCGAGAAGGTCCCAGAGATGGAGGTTCTCGGCACCCTTTTGAATTCTTCTGGTTCCACTCGGCGCTCGATCGAACACAGGCTTCTCAAAGCAGATGGGTGTTTTTGGAGTTACTCCCGTGCCTTTGGCGGACCGGGGTGCGTCTCGAGCAAGCTCTCTTCCTGGAGAAAAGGGCCCTCGACGTCAGCTTTGTTTGGCGCGGGCACCATGCACTTGTGCCAGAGCACGCTGATGGCCGCCAAGCGGTGGGAGTTCCAACGGCTCCGAAAAGCATTGCGACTCAGGCGGAAACCTGGGGAAGAGCAGCAGGAGTACAACCAGCGCACCTCGCATTTGATCCAAAACTGGAGTGCCAAGTCTGACGTGCCACTTCTTCACCACCGTGTTCTGCGCGCAGTCTTTCTGCAAGCGTGGCGGGAAACTCATCATCCTGACCCGCATTTCCGGAATATTCTCCGAGGGCTCCGAGAGTTTCGCGCCGCAGATTGGTGGGGCGGAGCTCGACAAATACCCTGGAAGTGGAGGCGAACGCTGGGCGCAGCACAGCGGACTAGTGGACACCCGCCCGCCTGGGACGACGTGTTTTGCAGCGTGTATGGGCCTCAATGGAGAAAGTTCCGCGACACTTTCGGCACGGTGAACGAGTGGAAGAAAAACGTCACGACTTTCACGAACACGGTTTGCGAGGTTTGGGGATTGCCGCTCATTCCTGTCCCAAGGACAAACGTTGCATCGGACGTTGATGCTGCGCACGCACCACGTGACAATGCGCCGCCGCGGAAGAAATCCCGCCAATACGCCGTGCACGACTGCCCGGTACATCACAATGGTGACGGCTTTGGCGAGGTGTTGGATTGGGAAGGTCAAGGGCGACGCTGCGTGTTCATCGTTGATTGCCAACCGCTTCAGAGAATTTCCATGGGAATCGTGCCGTTGACTCGGGATCCGGACGCCGAGCCCATATTTCACAGTATTTGCAGCAGTATGTTATCTATACTTCAGCATGCTTGGGCACCGCCTTATCCACACTGCGATCTGGTTACATGGCGTAAGCGCGACTACAACGTGGTGGCTGATTGGCTTGTCAATTACACAATGGATACCAAGATGTCGTGGAGCAAGCAGTTAGACTTTCCGTTCGACAACACGCCCCTTGAACAGTGCAACGTCGTGGTGCATTCGGACGGCGGCACGCGAATGGGAACGTGTTCAGCCACCGGTTGGATTGTCGAAGTGGGCGTTCACGACGGTCATACATGGGTGTTCCGCCCTCTGTTTATGGCCGGAACGTACATATCTTCTCCAATTTCTTCGTTTCATGCGGAGGCACTGGCTTTGGAGGAAAGCGCGCTGTTTGTGAGTCGGTTGTTTGTAGCAAGAGCAGAGCAGTAGTCCGTAGATGGGAGTGATGTAGTCAGCTGGCCTCCGAGGGGCCTCAGGCTTAGCGAAATGAAATGAAATGAGGATGAGGAAAAGAAATGCGAACAGGAAAGAGGAACGCTGTTTTCTCGTTTTCCACAATGGGTTTGCGAACCTCACCTTCGTGTACTATTGGCTCTATAGCCCTTGTATTGTTTTCTTACGAGCGAACGGCGAAATTGTGGGTTTCCGAACCCCTTTTTCGTGTACTATTAGAATCAGTGGGTTTCCGAACATCATTTTCGTGTACTATTAGCTCTATAGCCCCCTGTATTGTTTTCCTACCAGCGAATGGCGAAATTGTGGGTTTCCGAATTCCTGCTTCGTGTACGATTAAATTCCGACTATTCTATGTTATTCTATTTGGTTTTAACTGATTGTGTGGAATCGAACCCGAACCCGAACCCGAACCCGAACCCTTACCCTTCCCCATTCATTCTCAATAGACACGAAGGTGAGGTTTGACCCTACTACTACTACTACTACTACTACTACTACTACTACTACTACTAATAATAATAATAATAATAATAATAATAATGATGTAGTTCTTACTTTAAAAAGGATACGAGGAACGCACGAGGAGTGGACGTCCGAGCGATAGCAAGGCCCAGGGTCACTCTTTACTTGCAGCCGAGAGGGGCAGAAGGGGCGCGAGAAGCAGAAGGGGGGGTGCTCGCCTCGCGCAGCAGCGGCGGCCGGGGGCCTGCGACGCCATGGCCCTCCCATCTCCCGCTTGCTTGGCATCGCCTGGACGTGTGCACTTCTGTTTCGGCGAGGGCCATCGAGAAGCATCCTGGGTCATTTCGCGAAAAGCACGCGCACGAAACCGAGCTACGCACTCGGAATGGACGCCCGAGCGATGGCGAGCCTCGGGGCGCGCCGCGCGCGCGGCCGCGCACGCGCCTTCCTTTGAGGGCGGGCCCCCGCGAGGTGCATTTTTTTGGGCGCAGGCGTGCGGAAGCGGTCAGGTGCCGGTCGGGCTGAAGGCGGGGCGCGCGGAACCAGAGTAGGGCACATAGAAAGAGGAGGATGCAGAGCGAGGGCAAGGACAGAGCTGCTCAGATCGTGCAGACCTGCACGGGGTACCGCCGAGAGCACGCGCGAGATGCGTACCAAGCAGCGGCCCGGGAGGTGCACAGGCTCTTGCGCAGTGTCTTCGTGAGGGGGGCCATCGTGGTGGCCGCCGAGGCGGCTCCCAGGGAGGGCTCAGGGGCGACGTTTGGGGGGAGGGTCGTCGGGGTTCTCTGAGGTTCTCGGCGGTTTTCGGGCCTCGGGGTGCGTTTTGGCAGCCGTGCCTCGCCGAGGGCGTTCAGGGGGTGCAGGGATCGTCCCGAACGGCCCCCGGCGAGCCGAGTTCTGGTCCGAAAGCCAGGGGGCAACGATGGGTGTAGGCTCATGGGGGGACGCCCCGAGCCCCAATCGCCGACTCATCGCCGATCGGGGCCCGATGGCCCATTCCGCCCAGGACCGTGCGGATTCGCTATCAGGGCCCACAGCGAGATCCGACGACGCGGACAAAATCAGGACATCGTGAAACATGACAGACCTATGTTGACCCAAGACTTACCTCATTGATCCCAGCATACCCATCCACACTGCGTTCCGTTCTGCTCTGAGCTTCCCATGCCGATGAGCTCTCGGCAGCCGGGCACCCCACTGCGTGGAGTACTTGGCAGGGCGTCCTCGGGGGCAGCGCTGGTCGAATCTGTGGCCCTTGCCACTCCCATCGACCAGAGGGCCCGTCTTAGGAGCGTCGCGCAATTGGGGGGCGATGAATGACGGGGCAGCAAGGGTTGTAGAAAAGGAGCCTTTCAGGGCCCGCCAATGGGTCCTTTAGGGCCCAGAAGGGGGCCTTGAGGGCCCCCAAAGTGCACCTTTCTCTGCCCTTTATTTATCACCCGTCGCCCCTCCACCAAGCGACACCCACATGCCGAAACCGCTGCCGCAGCTGGGCGATCGAGTTGCACGGAGGGCCCTGCGACGTCAGTGGTGGAACGTTTACGTTTACGCGAGGATTTCGAGAAGCTGAAGCTGGAGTTCAAGACTCTTGGCGAGGCGATGTGCAACCGCTTGCGGACGTCGAGGCGAGCATCATCAGTGCCGAGGCACGCGTGGACAAATTGAAGAACATGTACCACGAGTTGCTGAAGAAGGTGCCCCTTCCAACCGACGACGTCGGGACCATGGTGCGCAGTTGTATCGAGGAGCACACGAAGCAGGAGGCGAGCACGCAATCATGAATAATGGGGCGAGCCAGGACCCGACCGTAGGCAAGAGGACGGTGACGGCTGCGACAGGTAACTTGGATGGCTCCTCCGACCTCTCCCGGACGACCACATGGTTGCAGGAGCGACTGAAGACTTCGGGAACCCTTCCCGCAGTGAAAATATATTCGAAGGGCCTTGGCGGCGCGGTCGAATTCCTGCAGGGCGTTGGCCTTCGGAACGGCGAGAAGCATATCTGAGCGAACCGGGACTGGCCCCCCATCGAGCGCGCCGCCCGGAATTTTTGTTTCGGCCTGAAGCACATATTGAAGAACGACGGGGAGGTGCCGCACACGAGCTTGGTTTCCGACGAGGCTCCTTGCACCATCACAATTGGCGGGGAGCACGCGTTGACGGCGAACGCGACGCAGAACGGAGTCGAGTGCGCGTGGCAAGGGGAGACGAAGACATGGGCGGAGCTGCACAGGCACCAGATCGTCAAGGAGCTGACGAAAAAGTCGGACGACTTGGTGTCCCCCGCGTGGGGAAGTTTATGAAAGGCGCGAAAGGAATTCGCAAGGGGAAGCAGGACGGCCCCGCTGGGCGCCCAGGGGGCTGGGAAACGGCCCCCCCGAGAGTTCCACCAGCGCCGGCAGTCGGCAAGACAGCAACTAAAAGCCAACAGTTTTGCGAATTCAAGATATCACGAACGTATTAAATTGAGGACGCGAGTGGCCGCGACAGCACCCATCGAGAATATTTCGGTGACCGATGTGGGCCGTTGCGCCCTGCTGCAAAAAGGTCGGATTTGGATATTGAAGCGCGGAAGGACTGACAGAGGCCAGGGTCGAATACTTCCAAGAACACATGCGGACCTTCAACATAGATACTCTCGCAATTCAAGAGTCTCACAAGCCAGAGTCAACGCATGAGGTTACTGGCTATGGTTATCTTGTGGCACTGTCTGAAGACGCTGACGACCAGCATACAGCCAGGGCTGGATTTCTCACACCTCCGCAGATATGCACAGGCACCATCGGATTCAGGACGGCGTCGTCGAGAGCGCCTGCTGCGAAGCTGCGCGCTCACGGGGGCAAGGCACCGACTTCCCGCAAATGCGCGCCGCGCCACGGCTAACCACGCGAAGCCCGGAGAGAATTCGACCCGTCTCTTGGCACCGTTTCCCGGGATATCCCAGGACATGGCGGGCCAGTCTTTCTCGGGGATTTCAGTGCGAGGCCGCGCGGGCAGTTCCCATGCGGCCTGCCCCGCGCTGGGCAATGCGTCTTCGGCCGCCCGTCTGCACAGCGCGGCCCGAATTCCAATCGCAATGGGTTGCTGGAGTAGCGCGGTGCACATGGGCTAGCAGTCAACAATACGCTCTCCCACCGCCCACCAGATGCCCAAATGACGCGCAACAACATCGGTTCGAAGCCTGCTGGCCCTGCCCGCCCAGAACACTTTGGCCAAATCGATGTTCTACTCTGCTCGAAAAACCGACCGTCGCCTGTCAGCGACGTTCGCAGTCGCGACGCGGCCCTTGCTTCGCACCATGTCCTGCCCCTCTGCCGCGCGCACGCGGGCGCTGAGAAAGCCAACGGGGTGCGAAGCGAGAAGCTGGACATGCAGGCGCTGTCTCGCAGCTTTTTGGCTGACGATTTCAGCCGTTTTCCTTCGCGAAATGACGGGCGCCGATGCTGACTGGGGTAATTTGAGCGAGCTGAACGCCGCGATGTCGGTTGCCTTCAGGTGCGCTGGTGACGAGGGCCGCTCCCACGGTTCCAGCTACTCGCCATCGGCCACGGATCAGCAACGCTACCATGTGGGCTGATCACGCGCAGAAGGGGGGCAGGGAAGACTGGCGAGCCTGCCAGAGAGAGAGAGAGAGAGAGAGAGAAGAGAGAGAGAGAGAGAGAGAGAGAGAGAGAGAGAGAGAGAGAGAGAGAGAGAGGAGAGAGAGAGAGAGAGAGAGAGAGAGAGAGAGAGAGAGAGAGAGAGAGAGAGAGGAGAGAGAGAGAGAGAGAGAGAGAGAGAGAGAGAGAGAGAGAGAGAGAGAGAGAGAGGAGAGAGAGAGAGAGAGAGAGAGAGAGAGAGAGCGAGAGAGAGAGAGAGAGAGAGAGAGAGAGAGAGAGAGAGAGAGAGAGAGAGAGAGAGAGAGAGAGAGGAGAGAGAGAGAGAGAGAAGAGAGAAGAGAGAGAGAGAGAGAGAGAGAGAGAGAGAGAGGAGAGAGAGAGAGAGAGAGAGAGAGAGAGAGAAAAAAAAAAAAAAAAAAGAGAGAGAGAGAGAGAGAGAGAGAGAGAGAGAGAGAGAGAAAAAAAAAAAAAATAATATATATATATATAACGCATGGTCACAGCATCGGGCAAAGCAGAAAGCGGGAAGTGGTTCGGCGATCACCTCGCCTCTGGTGATACGGCCGAGATTCGGAAATTGCGAGAAGGTTCAGCGGCGCGGCGGGGCCGCATCAAGGACGCGAGCGGAAGATTGGTGGACAGTGACCATCGGGCAGACACGTTTGCGAAGTATTTTCCTGAGGTCAATGGGCTGTGAGAACCGTGGCGGATGTCGAACGCGCCTCTTGCATAGACGCAGCCCCCCGGCCCCGGGCGGCGCCCCCGCTCGCCCGGAAGAGGCTCGCAACGGTGCGCGAGACCAAAGAAAGAGCAGGTCTTCTGGAGACGATGGCATCCCGGTGGGGTTCTGGATGGCCAGACGCAAACCAGGGATTGCGTTTCCCGAGCGGGTTACACTGCTACGCGCGCCACGCAGCAGATGGTTGACGGATCAGGCGTTGCCAGATGCACAGCGCGAAGCAGTCGACACCGCGCTGTTCAACAACGGCGACGCAGCCGAGTGCTCCATTATTGTCACTGCCAAGTGGCTACAAACTGCGTGAGATGTTTCTCCTCGGCCGCTTGATGCACGCAGGTGCCGAGGGCTGAAGCCGGGGCGCGCAGTTGGGCTTCCGGTCAGGACGCGGCGCTGCCGATCCGCTGTTCGACGCCCGCAGGTCGATTGAAGACACCTGGAGTACTCGCTCCATCAAACTGGTTCTGCCAGCGCTGGACTGGGCCAAGGCGATCGATAGCGCCTCGCCAATCGCGATGGCGCAGGCGCTCGTCCACTTCGGCACCCCAGTGCTTTACGCCGAGACAGTTCGGGCCATCTACAGGAACAGATCGTTCCGAGCGAGGGGGGCGGGCCAGACGTCCGAGACACGGCCGCGGGCCTTCGGCATCTACAAGGCCCTTTTCATCGCCGCTCTTGTTCTCAATCATTCAATAGGCCCCCGTGCACGACGCAAGGCAGACTTTCCACGCGCGCGGACTGACCTAAGACGCCCGGGCACCCTTCAGCGTCCTCATCTACGCCGGCGATATTCTGGTCGCTGGAGCCAGCGACGGTTATGCTTCTATGCCGGTGGGGGCGATTCACTGCGCGGGGTCCAACTGCGGGCCCGCTTCGGACCGGGCCAAATCTCGAAGCCCGGCCAGCATGTTGCGAGACGGCCTCGACGAAGCCAGGCGGCGCGCCCATCCCGAGCAAGGAAAGCACGGCCAACTTGAGAGGGTCCTTGAGAGCGCCACGGGTCGGAGCGTGCCGGGGCTGAGCCGTCGCCTAGGCACGGCCAGCGCAGACGTCGAGGCCTCGTGCAAAGCGCGGATGCTCGCGCAGGTGCCCTGCGACGATGAGGCGGCGGTGTTTGGCGCGCGCGTAGTATCTAAGTTGTTCAATTGTCCACACTGGGTTTGGTTTTACAAACAGAGCGCAGCCGGAACTATGCTTTCGAAGTGCGGCTCCTGCGCCAGATCTCGGGCACCGAGCATCGTGCATTAGCCACGTCAGCCATGCGATGATGTCGCAGAGATGTCGCGCACAGAAGCTGAGTCGCATACAGACGCGCAGGCATCTGAAGATCATTGGACAAATCGGCCTGGTTCCAGGGGACAGCCCCGTGCGCAGGTGCACATTCCAGCCCCGCTT